AGGGAGGCCCTGTGCCCGTGTCTGAACATAACAAACGAGACAGTGAACTCATTTCCTGGTTTCTAATGAGTTCTCTCAGATACCATGTCCACCATAGCCTTCCTTGGCCTTTCTGGAATGAAGTGTCAGGGTGTCAGGGATCTGACACCTGCAGGCAACTTCTTCCCGACACACACCAGGGCATCAGGCCCCCAGGCCCCCAGCTGGGCTCTGGGCGGGCTCGTGTGATGCCTGCTCCTGCGACTCCAGCCACAGGAACCCCCGCTCCATGCTGTGACAGCCCTCCCGGCTCCCCCACTGGATTTCTGCCTTGGTTCTTGGTGTTTTGCTTGGAGGAAGGGATATCGCATTTTTTGAGCACCTATCCTGCTTTACATTAGTTATCTCCTTCAGTCCTCCCAGTAACTCGCTGAGGTTGGTGTTTCTTCCCTATTTTACTGAATTCACCCGAGGTCTCCCAGCAAGGATGGCAGAGGCAGGTCACCCGGTCTGCACCATGACAGCACCCACTCTCTTTCCACCGCCTGGGTAGGAACATGGTTCTGAGCCCGGGTTTGTCTGCCCTGACATCTGGCCTGGTCCTGGCCCAGCCCTTCTCCAAGTTAAGATCAAAGAAGGAAACAATTCTTATGATCCAGAACAGTGGTTTTGAAAGTTTTCTTTTTTAAACAATCTTCCAAACAGAACCTTACAAAGACCCCACAGTAATAAGCAAGGAATCTCCCTGCTTGAGGAGTGGGGACCCAGAGCCGTGCCTCCAGGCCCCCCCAGCCCTTGCTCCCTGCAGTTGTCTGGGGGCACTTCTAGAAACCCATAAGGGGATTTATTCACAGTGCAGGGGTTTACAGGGCTTCTGGAGAAAGCACTCTCCGGGGGATTTCCCTCTGCCAGCCATCAGGGCGTGGGGGGACTAGGGAAGGAGCCTGCCTGGGTCTCCTCTGTTCCCTCCACCCTGACTTACCCTGGCCCGGCAGGAGTGGGTATGTGGCCTCTGGGGTGTTGGGGAGAAGAGACCTCAATCCTGCTTGAGGGGCCTCATGCTGATGCTTGTACCCTCTCCCTAGCCTGTGGTCTTCACTTTCTCTCCTTTTCTTTCTTCTTGGACTGACATTTGCTTTGAGTGTTTGCCTGGCATGGAGAGAGGGACCCAGCCCTTGGAGTAGCCCTCTGGCCTGTGTTCTGATGGCAGAGCACACATGCATGCTCAGCACAGCCACCAGCTGACAACTTCTCCTGCAGTGGCCCTAGGGTCACTGCCCAGCACATGGCACTCCAGAGTCCTAGTGGGCTCTCCATACCCTGGGGGCACTTGAGACACTTAGCAATGGCTCTGTGTGTTAGCTGCTGATGCTAAAGGATGCCACCAATTGGATCAAGTCCTACCTCTGGCCCTCTGGCTGCTTTCATGGCCCAGGAACAGGGCAGTGGTTTGATGGTGTTGGCTGCTTGTAGGCAGGGGGGCTGTAAGATAGCACGAGACCCACCATGCCTGGGTCTGGCCTGACTCTCAGTGCACTCTGCCTAGCTAGGTTATGAGCTGGCCAAGCTGGGAACTGGTTTGTTCCAATCCAACTGCAGCCCAACCCCATTCCAGTATTTTAATTATGGCATTAAAGAAATACAAACATAAAAAGGTATGTGCCTTATAAATGTGATTCTGATATTCTCTTTTGATATTAATTCACATTAATTGCCTCAGATGCTGCTGATACACAAACAAATCTGGCAGAAGAATCCCTACTGGCAGTCCTGATTGTGCGCTTAAGTGGACGCAGCAGTAGTGGAGTCAGGCTCTCTGGACAGCTCTAGGAGCAACCTGGAGGGTGGGTGGTGGAGAGCTCAGTAAATCAGAGTGAGGCCAACTCTTCACGTGGGTGTGGTTAGCCCTCCCCATCAAGAGATAAGGGTCCTGGGACAGAGGCACCAGAAAGGTCAGATGGGGTGGAGATGGGCATGCTCTGAGGAGAAAACTGGGCCCCAGGGAACTTGCAGTCTTCACTTTCTCTCAAGGGGCAGAATAAAAAGCAGCAAAACAAAGTGAGGGGAAGTAAGAGCTGGAAACGGGGAGGAGGAGGGAGTGACTCGGATTGCTGAAACCACAAGGATAAAGAAGGGGGCAGTGGAAGCAGTGGGGCAGGACCTGGCATGCTTTGGGTAGAGATGGGTGGAGGGAAGAAGGGGGTGCTGGTAGTGGGCTCTCCATACCCTGGGGGCACTTGAGACACTTAGCAATGGCTCTGTGTGTTAGCTGCTGATGCTAAAGGATGCCACCAATTGGATCAAGTCCTACCTCTGGCCCTCTGGCTGCTTTCATGGCCCAGGAACAGGGCAGTGGTTTGATGGTGTTGGCTGCTTGTAGGCAGGGGGGCTGTAAGATAGCACGAGACCCACCATGCCTGGGTCTGGCCTGACTCTCAGTGCACTCTGCCTAGCTAGGTTATGAGCTGGCCAAGCTGGGAACTGGTTTGTTCCAATCCAACTGCAGCCCAACCCCATTCCAGTATTTTAATTATGGCATTAAAGAAATACAAACATAAAAAGGTATGTGCCTTATAAATGTGATTCTGATATTCTCTTTTGATATTAATTCACATTAATTGCCTCAGATGCTGCTGATACACAAACAAATCTGGCAGAAGAATCCCTACTGGCAGTCCTGATTGTGCGCTTAAGTGGATGCAGCAGTAGTGGAGTCAGGCTCTCTGGACAGCTCTAGGAGCAACCTGGAGGGTGGGTGGTGGAGAGCTCAGTAAATCAGAGTGAGGCCAACTCTTCACGTGGGTGTGGTTAGCCCTCCCCATCAAGAGATAAGGGTCCTGGGACAGAGGCACCAGAAAGGTCAGATGGGGTGGAGATGGGCATGCTCTGAGGAGAAAACTGGGCCCCAGGGAACTTGCAGTCTTCACTTTCTCTCAAGGGGCAGAATAAAAAGCAGCAAAACAAAGTGAGGGGAAGTAAGAGCTGGAAACGGGGAGGAGGAGGGAGTGACTCGGATTGCTGAAACCACAAGGATAAAGAAGGGGGCAGTGGAAGCAGTGGGGCAGGACCTGGCATGCTTTGGGTAGAGATGGGTGGAGGGAAGAAGGGGGTGCTGGTGAAGAGAGGTGGGGAGAGATGAACGGGCATTGATAGGACAGGGGTGGGGATAGAAATGCCTAGAAAACCTCCTTGGCAGGGCTCTGGGCCATGGTCACAGCCAGGATGAGCTCTGAGAGGTCAGAGGAGGAGACTCGAAGAGAAAGTGTCAGGGAAAGCTAGTGGGTCCACTGGACATCTGGGGACCCAGAGGACTGGCGGCACTGGAGGGGCCCCTAACAGGCTCTCTCATCTCTGGAGCACGTACTCCAAGGGAGCTGAGGTGGTACGCAGGTACCTGCATGATGCGGACATAATTGGCGCGATGCAGCTCACTCTCTTTGACCACTTTCTTCTTGAGAGTGGCCAGGTTCCTCTCCAGGTGCTCCCGCTGGCGGGTGTACTCCTGCTGCAGGTCTGTGTTCAGCTCTGCGATCTCCACCTGATGGGGCAGCAGGGATGCTCAGAGAGGGAGGGGAGACCCTCCCAGGAGGGGAAGGTGAGGCCTAGGAAAGAGGCAGGGCTCACCATGTCTGCCTGCTGCACATACTTCTCAAAGAGGCCTCGGACCTTCTCCTTCAGCAGCCGGGGGTCCTGGATATACGCCACGCAGTTGTGAAGGTCTGTTTTAAACCGTTTGACTAGCGCCTCCAAGTCCCGCTCCTGTGATCAGAGACATTTACTTCTGGCACTGCAGGGGCTCTGCTGGGTGGGGGGGCAGGGGCTGCAGGCAGAGGCAAATGGCAGCAGAAAGGGACAGGAGCCACTTCATGTGGGACTCATGGTTGATGGCTGGGGCCACAGGGGCACAGAAACCCAGATGGGCCCATAGCCAAGAGGCAGAAGCACTAAAACTTTCGTGCTTCTGGGCCTGAACAGCCTCACCTTTAAGAGGCCACCCAGATTGACTCCCTTATTGGCTCTGGAGTCCTTCCAGGACCACAGGCCTTAACAGATGAAAGGAAGTACGAGTGGTCACCCTAGTCCTTTCTGAGCCAAGATGGGTAGTACTGATTATCTCTTGAAGGTCTCTGGGCCAGAGCTTCCTTGTCGCCCTTATCAACTCCTGACAACTTTATCCTTCCTGACAGTCAAAAGGGCTGTCAGGAGCAGGTAGGGGGAAAAATGACAAAACTGGGCAGAACAGTTTATCTGCAGATCTGGGCTAGATTCACTCTTTCCCATCATGCTTTCTGTGGTGACAGTCTTCCCCAACCCGACTTCTCTCCTTTGCTCCCCCAGCCCTTTATTCACAGTCTATAATTTTCCACTTTGCACTGTAATTACTAGGCACATGCCACAAATTGCCTATCAACTTCTCCAGTCTGTGAAAGGCAGGCTCTGTGTCAGTTTATGTTTGTAGCTCTGAAGCTTCTAGTATCACCTAGGACAGAGTCAACTCCTAATGTGGGGGATGGAAAAATTCAATCTGATTTAACATTATGGAGTGCCCTGTGCTAGGGGTGAGCGCAGCCAAGTCCTGGCCCCGGAGCAGAAGACTGAGTTCCCAGTACTGGTTCTGCATATACCAACTGGCCATGGGTGCTGGGCCAAGTTTCTTAACCTCCTAATCGCTCTCTTGTTTATTACATTAAGAGACTAGGATAGACGATTTTTGAGGTTCTCCTAGCCTCAGTATTTTTTGGTAGTGAAAGCCTTTTGCCACTGACCACACATGACCTCTCTGAGCGTGATCCTTCCCAGACAAAACAAGCCAGTGCTATAAACATTCATATGAAACTGGCTTCCTGTCCCCTTAGTCACTTTGCCCCAAGTCATTTTATAGTGTCAGATGGATTATCTCATGTAAATCTGCGTGGGCCTGAAGTCTGGCAGGGCTGTGAACAAGTAAAGAATGTAAGTTAAAATGGGAATGTATCTTAGCAATGGGTTGCTCTGCCTCTTAGACACCAGCTGCCTGCTGCCAGCAGATGCCAGATCCTGCATCCAAGGACAGCCAGAGTCTGAAAATCCTCACACCTTCTGTCTTTCTCTGCGCATCTCCTGGTCAGTGGCTCTTAATTTCTGCCACAATTCTGTGATGTTCAGCTCCAGCTGGGTGTTCTGCTTATGGAAACGCTCCAGTTCTGCTTCCATCTACAAAGAACACGGGAAAAAGAGTCAAGAATGAGAAAGTAAGAGAATGAAAATGATATTTGAGAACTAGAGTCTTTCAGTAGGGATGCTTCCCCTGCTAGCAGGGCATTTCTAGTTCCTGTCTATGGCCTCTGGAATGAAGCCTTTCTTCTTACTGCCTGCTGGCCTGAAAGCCTCCTGCCCCCGGCTGATGTGTTAATAACACAGATCATGTGTTTCTGCAGCCAGGTGATGAATTTTCCACTTAGTTTCCCTGCTCCTTTAATGCGCTGGTTACCTTCTTTCCTGAACTCTTTAGAAATTGATAACTATCCAGTCCTGGGCCTCTGACCTGAGGTAGGGTTCTGCAGAGAAGCACCTCCCTTGTCAGCTTTGTGAAGTTGTGTGATTGAATCTTGACCCTGTGGGGCCACAAGTCATCAGAGGTGATTCTAAAGCAGAAAGTTTTGAGGGACTGGCATGCAGGCTTCCCAGTCTAAGGCATAAACCAGGAAAAAAGAAGCAGAGAAGGACCCTCCACCTTGTCATTCTGTTATAAAGGGCTTAAAAAGTATAACTGGGGAGAGTGTCTTACCTAGTCTTCAAAAGAAAAAGACAAACCATCAGTGAACTTCTGACTCTTTATTCCTTGTTACATTTGTAGTAATCAAAGACAGGTGAATAACAACTGGAGCTTCTGATTAGTATGAGACCAGGTATAGGTGAGCTCTCAGCTGATCTAATTTCTGCCTGAAGCAAAGAACTGATGTTTGACACATTGAATCTGGTGGTCACTAGTATTCCTGTTAATAGAGAGAGAGGTTTGCTGACTTTTTGGGGGGGATGGGACAGCTCACTGGGTTTTTTTAATGGCTGAATGGAGTAGTCCCTCTAGTCTATCCAGGCCCTGTGGTCAGATTTCAAGGCTCTTGGCTGTCTTCTGGGGTACCACGAGGCCCAGATGAGCCACAGTCATGTTCTGGACACCAAGGGGCAGCTTTTAAAAGAGTGTTGTCTTCATTGTTGGAAGCTTTCTGTACAGACAGAATAGTCCTTTGACCCAATGCCTAGCACAGAGGAGGCACTCAGTAAGCATTTATATGAGTGAATGAATCCATGGAAGATGTAGAAGGAAAAGGGGAGCAATAGTGAGGGAAAAGGAGGAGGGCCTGAAGCAACCTGCCTTCTGGAAGAGGAATGATAAGGTAAATATGCAACAATGGCACATCTATGTAAAGCCAGTGTGTAGAGGACACACAGCTAGGGTGGGTATCTGCACAGCTTAAAAAGAATGTGCCCATTAGAAAGGACCACCCAGCCATCATAGGCATAGGACTACTGAACTGACTAAGGTAGTTTCTGTCTTTGAGAAGTTTCAGGTCTAGAGGGAGAAGACAGAAAGAAGAAAATCAGAAGCTCAGGTGGGAGGGGATAAACATTGTGGTGGATGCAGACAGGGCCCATGCATGTGCTGAGGAGGTGGGCAGGGGGCACCCAGAGAAGTGCTCAGCTGGGTTTTGTAGGTGGAACAGGTATTAGAGGACAAAGCGGGAGGGGAGGACAATCCTAGGCACAGAGAACCACCCGCACGTGGAGGGGACCAGAGGCGTGGGCAGCCGTGCATCTCTGCAGGCTACAAGTAGTGCAGGTGAGAAAGGGGGGTGGCTGGAGAGGTCAGCCTTGCTGGGTCACACAGGACCCAAGGGCAGAGGCTTGAATGGCAAGAAGTTTGACCTTTATCCTAAAAGCTCAGGGAGCCACTGACATGAATCACCCAAGGAGTGGCAAGATCTTATTTGCACCTTGGAAGGCCTGACACAGTTCTGCTGGAGACAGCAGGACTGGAGCCAGGCAGACTGGTGAGGAGGTGAGAGGATGGTGTCCTAGATCAAGGGAATGGCAGGTGGAAAAAAGAAAGGGGCTTCTCTGAGGTCATGTGTGAGTGCCTGCAACTGGCTGTCCCTCTTTCTCTATGGTCTTGAAGTCAGCCATAATGGTGTAGGCTAGAAAGGAAGGCAAAGCCTCAAAGGACACTGAGGATAAAAATCTATTTTGTAGAAAAACAGTGAAATACGTCAAAGTGAATAGCTGGCCGGACAGCTAGGACACCAGGCAGTATGTGGGAGCAAGCCCCTCTTCCCAGTGTGGAAACTCCATCTACTCTTTCGTGTGTCACTCCTCACTCAGTGAGTCCTAGCTTGGAGGGGGGCAGGACAGAGGCGTTCTGCCTGCTGGGGGACACTGCGCAACATCTGGAGACATTTTTGGTTGTCACGTCTGGGGAGAGGGGAGGGTTGCTACTGGCATCTAGTGGGTAGAGAGCAGGGATGGTAGATATTCTACAAGGCACAGGATGCCCCCACAACAAAGGCTTCCTGCCCAAAACGTTACAAGTGCTGAGGCTGAGAAACCCTGCACTAGATAAATAGATAAGAGTGTGAAGTAAAGTGACAATGTTCTGGAAATTCCATCCCTAGGAAGGAGTCACCTCTCATCAAAGAGAGGCTGGAAAAGTGTGTGTGGGCAAGGCACCTGAATCAGGGAAGTGTTATGTTTTCAGTCAGAGTTTCAGGTCTACAAAAGGGCCCATGGCTTATGGCTTCTTTCTTCTAGGAAAAGGAACTCACAGGATATCCGTAGCTGGCGGGCCAAATGGGTCTCTGACCCCCAGAGGGAAGCCCCAAGGCCAGAGGCCACTGGGGAAGGAATCAAGCCCAGGCATCAGCTCGGGCAGCAACTGGCACGGTGTGTGGGAGAAGGAGAGGCCCTGTTTGAATCGCTCCCAAGTGCAGACATATTCCCTGCTGACGATCAAGGCCATGATTGGCCAGTCCCTCGGGTATGTTGGGGTGGAAAGTAACTGACCCAACCTTAAGGCCAGTTGACAAGGACGCCAAATGAGGAGGGAGCAGTGGGGCAGTGCTTTCCAGGGGCCTGGAGCACACCGGCTTTCCAGGCAAGTGGGGCCTTTCTTTCTCTCATCTCAGGCTGCCATTTTTGGGCTGAAGTCATTCAAGAATGGCAGGAGGCCCAGAGGAGCAATTCTGAGGTCAGCCGGGGAGCAATTCTGAGGTCAGAGGCCATACCCTCTCTGGACTCCTTGCTCTGGACTGATCCTACCATCTGGCTCTCTTCCTGGGCCTCCTAGAACAAAGGCTTGGTTTTTCCCTGCCACAGCTCTTGGGCATCCAATCCGAGTTGGGCCACAGTGCTTTCTGACACCCTTTCACTTGTCATCCTTGCTCAGCATAATTAGAGAAAATGGAGGGGGAGCAGGAGGACACTAGGATGTGGTAGTCAAGGAAGGCCTCCTTGGAGAGGTGACATGTGAGCCTCGATGTGAAAGACACAAATCAGCCAGTCATGTGACCATCTGGGAGCTTCTGGGCAGAGGTCCCCAGATGGGAAAAGTGTGGCTTTTCTCAGAAAGGCAGGGAGAGGCTGGATCGTGCAGGGCCTTGTGGGCCTCAGTATGAGTTTGGATTTTATTCACCACTGGGGATCACTGTGGCCTCTATGCAGAAGCCAGACTGGAGGCTGGAGGCAAGTCCAGATGAGAGACAACGGAGGCTTTGACCTGGAGTGAGGGCAGCAGAGGGGAAGGAGCGTTGGCTCTGAGATATCTTTTGGAAATAGACCAGATAGACATTGGTGATCAGACACTGGGAAGGCAGGAAGTCCGTTTTAGATCATCCATGGGTCCCATGGTCGGCTGCTCTCTGCCCCGTGAAGGAGGCTGGCAGGTAAACGTGTCTCATAGGGAAATGCGATGTGTAAGGGGCTGAGGGGCCAGGCGGAACACTTGCACTGCCCAGGACTCTCGGAAGCCCTTATCCAGTTGACTTTGCTTCTAATCTCTCTCTTCTCTACCTTCATCCTGTTTGCCTCCTAGAATACACACTTAATTATGCCCCTCTCCTGCTCAAGAGCCTTTGACGACTTCCTATTCCCCATCAGATGAAGTCCAAACACCGCGACTTTGCACAGGGCCCTAATCAACATTTCCACTCAGAATAAAAATGTTAAATTAGTTGCATTAGAGGGTGTGTTTTCTGGTGCCACAGGCTGGTGGCTGAGTACACATTGCCCCCTGGTGGCTGAAGGCCCAACTGCTGAGGTTTCTCTGAGGGCCAGAGCATGCCCATTAAGGTGCTGGTAGAGCCGAAGCCACCCCAAAGGCTCGTCTGCTCTCCCTGCCAGCACGCCACATCCCAAAGCATTTCATGATCATACAGCTGAACTCCCAGTTGGGCCTTCCTGTGGCATCCTCTGTGGAGTGGAGGCTGCCCCCAGCTAGGAGCGACCAGGAGCTGGGCGCACAGCTTTTTCTCATTGCCCCTAGGCCAGCCAGGACTAGCTGGGGAGGGGAGAGTGGTCCGTGAGGCCAGGTCTTGTGGATGACTTCTTACCTCCTGAATCTGTTCCTTCATCACCTTGATCTCATTCTCACGAGGTTCTATTTGCTTCTTCAGCTCCTTTATTTTGTAGTCGAGCACAAACTTAAATTTCTCTAGTTCTTGGTTTTTCTTTTTCAGATCATAGATTCGCTTCTCCTGTGGGTAAGATGAGAGAGAAGTGAGAGGGATATCAAGATGCCCTGGTATATGAAATCCCTTTAAGCGAAGAACATAAATCCTGTGACCTCCTAATTGAGGAGGCCACGGACTGCTCTCCTTGCTGGGGACAGAGGCTGGTTCCCCCACTAGGCTGCAGCACAGGCTCCTTGGCTTCTGTGCCAGGATGTCATTCATTCACTCACTCATTCATATACAGGTTACAGCCAACTGTACTTTCCAAAGCTTGGCTCTCGTCCCACACGCTCTTCTACAATGTGACTGTATATTTCTCTGTCAAGCAGTAGGATCTAATCACCATCTAGCTGGACTTATGTTTGGATTGCAACCCAAAGAATGCAGCTCAAGGGATGCTGTGTGGCTTCCCAGTCCAGCTCAGAGAAGGCCAAGCAGCTTCTACCTGGTTCTCTTATGGCACATGCTCCTGGGGAGGCCTTCTGCTGTGTAAGAAGTCCCACTACACTGAGACCTCCAGATTGGAGAGCACATTAGGTAACCTGGTTGACAGTCCTAGCTGAGCCCAGCTTCCCATCCATCCTGGCCTAGGAGTGGGTCATGAGAATGAAGAAGCCACCCTAGATGCTGATCTGCCAGCCTCCAGCTATTTGGGTCACCCCTGACTGAGGCCCAGCAAGGCCTGAGACTTTGGAGACAAAAACAAGCGATCCCTTTGCACCATGTCCAAATGTCAGACCCACAGAATCTGAGACTATAATAAAACAGCTGTTTTTCATCACTCAGTTTTGAAGTAATTCATTGCACGGCAATAGTAACTGGAATGTAGGTCTATCCATCCATCAAAGATTTACTGAATGAGACCTTTTGCCAAGGTCTGAGATTCCAAATAGAAATAGGACACAGTCCTGGCCCTTAAGGAGAGAACACGAGCTGGGAAAGGAGATGTGTCAATCAATGTAATCCTGTACTGTGACGAGTGCTGTAAAGGAAGACAGAGGCACAGAGTGTATTGAGGGTGCTGAGAACAACTTGCTGGTTTATGGGGCATGTGAGGCATGAGGAACAGAGTAGGGGGGAAGAAAAAGGTCTTGAATATTAAAAGGGGAAAAAGGGGGTATAGAATTTATCCAAGGGGCCAGGAGTTGGCAAACTACAGCCCCCGCGTCAAATGTGATCTGTTGAAACATAGCCAAGCCCACTCATTTATGCCTTGTCTATGGCTGGTTGTACACTAAAATGGCAGAACTGAGTAGCTGTGACAGAGGCCATATTGCATGCAAAGGGTAAAAAACTACCTAGCCCTTTGCAGAGATATGTTTACCACCCCTTGCCACAGGCAATGCAGAGCTCCGAAAAAATTTTTAGTGGGAGAGTGACAGCATTACAGAGTTGGGTGGCAGGGAGCAGGGGTGATAGTGGGAAGGGAGGCCATTAGACTGGTTAGGAGGTTGTTGCAATTTTCTATGTCAGGGCCCTTAACCTCTTTCTTGTCAAACCACCACTCAGAGAATACGAACAGAGCTCTGGACTTTTCCTTAAAAAATGGCCAGTACATACACAAACACTCCCAGGCAGAAATCACATGCAGGCACTAACCCATTTCATTCTTATTAGACCCCCAGAGGGGCCCCGCTTCACAGCAGAGAAAAAGGCACAGAAGTTGTCCAAGGTCCAGTAAATGGAGCTGCCTATGTTGGAACCAGGTAACCAGCGCTGAAACCCACGTCTCAGCCCCTGAAGAATTCTGCCTGCCTAAGGCACGAGGGCAGAGAGGAGGCAGAGGAGGTCACGGAGCCTGGGTCTGCCCAGGAGTTTTGGATAGGTGGTATGCCTCACAAAATGTGATGTGTCTGTCTTCTAAGTATCTGTGAGAATGGCACCCTGAGAAGTGATGGCATTCTGGGGCATCTGGCAGGAACAGGCCAACCACCGGAGTTCCTCTCTGCCCAGGGGCACCATGCGGGCAATGGGGTGGGTATGCCACCCCCAGTCATGGGGACCGTGACCCTAGGACATCTGGAGCCATGGTGAGCAGAGCCATGCAATCACCAACTTAGGCTTTTATCCTAAGTCTGTTGCCTGTAAAGAGAGAGGGCAAGATATTTAACTACTTGGAACTCAGTTTCTTGAACTACACAACTGCGTTGCTCATGGCCCTGGGTTGTTGGAAGAAGTAATGGGATATGTTTGCAGCATTTAGACCAGTGCCAAGCATACAGCTGGCACTTCACTAACTGCTCCTCTCCCATTAAGTTAAATGAAGTGTTCCTGGAAGCCAGGGACCCTCTCTCTTGAGCTTTGTCCTCATTGCCTGGGTCCACCTAGGCTGTAGTTGAGGGAGGACAGAAGTTGAGGATTTACCTTGTCTTGAATCGTCTCATCTCTTTCCTGAATCTCCCGCTTGAGGCCCATGATGTTCTTCTCCAGGGACTTAATGACTCCTTGCAGCTTTACCTGCTCGCTCTTCAGGATTTCAACATCATTGGCTCGCTCTTCAATCTCCTTCTGCAGGCTGCTGAACTAAAACCACAGAGGGCAACAACAAGGGCCACTAAAGTCTTTGAACTCATCTCCATCCCTCCCAGCTGTCTCTAAATTTAAAGAGCTCCCCATCAGAATTTGGGGCAGGTCAGGAATTTCCCAGACCAACAGGTGATGTGGTATTCTGGCTTATCAGATCCAGCCCCACGCCCTTACGTGAGAATGAACTATCTGTATCAAGAGACTCTGGAGACCAGCTCCCCACATGGACCCAGAACTGTCCATGACCACACCAACCTTGAGAGGTTGGGATCCATGCCCCATCAAGGTCACAGAGATTGGGACCTCAAAGATGAGACTTCTTAGTCATGTCCAAGAAGGGAAGACATGATTGTCTCCTGGATTTACTAGTAGTGTGATTTCTCATAGGTAGGAATGTGAGCTTGCTTTGCATTTGGCTTTTCTTGAGACTAAATGTTTGGGGAAACTGGCAATTCTACAAGGAGCTGTGAATTGAATCCCTCCTCACTTTAACCATCAGTGGCTGCAAACATCTGTCCCAGCCTATAAACTAAGTATCCTGCATCCCAAGTCCTCCACCTGCAGAATCCAAACTGGAGCCACCCACAGCTCTGCCCCAAGAGCCTGTGGACACCTTCACGTACAGACATTCTCTGTCCCCCCACAGACCTCAGTCCATTGCTATCAGACATTTAGCTCTGGGAGTTGTGGCTGAATCCTACATGCCAATAGATGAAAGCGCAGAGAGTGGCCATCAGCGTCACAGTGACCCTCACGCCCCCGTGTGAGGAGTGGGAAGGGGAGGCCCCAGCGGTCCGTGTCAGAGCATGTGGCAAGGCTCTGCTGTGTGGGTGCTCACCCCTACTTTCCCTGCAGTAAGGCCCTTGTCGGTCCCCAGGCTGCTCAGGGAACAGTCCAATACCTTCTTCCTCATGATGCCCGTTTCTCCTTTGAGCCTCAGGTTCGATTCCTTTTCATCCTGAAGCTTTTTCTCATACTTAGTTTTGATATCTTGGATTTCCCTGTCTTCATCTTCTTCAATCTGGTTCTTGGTCTCTTCAAACTCCCGCAGCTGCTGCCTGACATCTTCCTGGGCCTGGCTCGGGGGGAGAGAGAGATAGAGAGAGAGAGGGAGAGAGGAGAGAGAGAGAGAGAGAGAGAGAGAGAGAGAGAGAGAGAGAGGGAGAGAGTGCTCAGGAGCAAGGGGACGCAGGACAACCTTTGTGCTAACAGGGCCTGGGGTGAGATGAGCACATGAGGCCTATCATGGGGAGTGGGAGACCAAGGGGCGCTATAGGAATGGAAGCCAAGGCCATGGGTCCCTTGGCTGTCCGCTTTCTTCCTGTCTGTCCTTCTGTCCTTCTGCCTTCCTTTCTTTCCCTACCAGGTTAGGCCCCAGGCTCCATCACTTCAACCACCATCTTATCAACACCCGCATACCCTGCTCGGCCTCTGATCTTCACACTGACAACAGGCTTCCATTATCTTTCCTTCACTGAACTTGTGACAGTTATAATTTTATACTTATTTGTGAAATTACTTGATTGTTTCTTCCAGTAGATGTCTTTTCCTCAAGATGGCGACATGTCTATACACCCATCACTGAGCCCCCAGCATATAACATACACGGGCACATAGCAGGCTTTCAGTACATATCTGACTGAGTGTGTGGATCTTTAACTGTACCCTCCTGCTCCTTAACCCTATCACCTGCCTGTCACCTCCCAAATAGTTCTCGCATCAGCCACTTCCCTTCAGCCCTCTGCCACTGCCCAGCCACTGTCATCTCTCGCCTGGACTACTGCCTCTGCCTGCCACCCAGAGGCCTCCCTCTGGCCATGCTTCCCTCCGGACTGTCCCAGCAAGGGGAGCTTTCTACATCACACACCGGGCCATGCCACCTCCAACTTAGAAGCCTTCCATGGCTCACCCTTGTCCTCAGGACAGAGCCTAGGCTCTTGAGCCAGGTCCGCAAGGCTCTGCAGGAGTTACCTCCCACCTCAAGCTCTTGCCAGAGTAAACTAACTTTGGTCCCCCACATGTGCACAGGCCTTCACACATGTTGTCCCTCTGCTCTCAGCCCTCTTCCCATGGCCCTCTCCTGTTCTTCCCTCAGCTCTTGGCTCAGCTATCCCTTCCATGTGGGACGCCTGCACGTCCCCTATCATGTTGCACTGCACTGTAACGGCCTGCCTGACAGACTCCTACCCTGGCACGGAAGCTCCTTGGTGTCAGGACTACAACTCTCTGCTCGCACTGTGAAGACCCAGCATATGCAGTACCTGGTGATGAATGAGTAAAAGTCTAGAGCCCAGATGCTGGAAAAACTGTCTCCACCTGTGGGAGTTTGTGAAGTAACTAGGGCAGGACTCCCCTTTGCTTACTGCCACCAAGTGGTGGAAATTTTACATTACACCAAATCAGTCGCTCTCAAACTGACCCTGGCCTTCTCCCAGGCTGCATGTGACAGCATGGACTGAGTGTTTTCTTTGAGGGGGTAAGACAACAAGATGGTTTAAAACTGGGCTCGATGGTGTCCTGAAAAAAGCTTCTTTACTTCTCCATCACATGTCACCAGACCCTTGCAGCCTAGAGTAGCCCTCGGGCCCCCTGCTCTTGGTCTGGTAGATGCTGCTGAAAAGTAAAAGGAGGCCAGCCAGGTGTGTAGGATGGCATGCCAGGTGGATGCTCCCTAGGCAAGTTCTGAGTTGAAATCCTATTGACTCGAAAAGGAAATGTATTAGAATCACAGTGTGAGGTCCTGTGAGGAAGGTCAGCCCTTCTCTGCTGGGGGGTAGACTCATTATCTTAAGCAGAGCTCAGATCAGTTTACCAGAGGTCAACAAACATTTCTGGACATATTGGGCCCCACACGGGTTTTGAGAATCAGTGATGGGTGAGCAACAGCCCCTATTCTTGAGAAGCTCCCTTGGAGGAAAAGCAAACGCAGGATGTCAGTGTGTCACCCCTGTGGGGAAAGGCATCTGGGGGTTCTGAGAACAAAAGGAAGGATGCTTAGCCCTGGGGGAGGGGGGCGGGGATAGGGGAGAATTCCTCAAGGAGGTGGCTCTGGTCCTGAGTCTGTTAGGGTGAGTACAAGAGGCCAAGAGGAGAGGAATCAGCCTGAGCAGAGCTCAGAGGTTGTGGGGAAACTCCCACTGCTCCACATCATTGGATGAGAGGGAGCGGATCAGGAGCAGCTGTAAATGGGGCTGGGGAGGGCACGGCCACCTCAGGGGGCTTGTGTGAGCTGTGCTGAGGCACACTGCTCACACTGTGGAATCGGTGGGAACGGAGCACCCTATGTCTGGTGCTTTGACCTCGATCTTGACTCTGCTTCGGCCACCGCTCTCAGCCATCCCTGGAATGGTGCCACCTCTGAAGTCTTAAAACACAGGCACTGCTCTCCAAGCACAGGTGATTTCTCGGTGAACCCCGGTTATGCCAGCCTAGCTCTCAACCTCACCATGTCCCCTGGTCCTATCTTGATTCCTCTGCCATCTTCCAGGCTCTTGGTTCTTTGCTGACCCCTCTCTGGCCAAGACCCCATGGCTGGTCACCAGACAACTTTTATTTTTCTGTGGCACCAACTGAGTCAAAGCCCAGCTGTGAACTGGGGCTGCTCTGGATCTTGCTCACTCACACGCCTACTTGCTGAGCCCTGCTGTGGGAAAGCCCACAGCCTGGGGGGTGGATGCCACCAGAATTCACGTCTCAGACCCCAGCTGGGCCCTCAGCTGCATACCTGCCGGTCCTCTTTTTGGTCACTCCCTTCCTCATTCTCTTCAAAAAGGACTCCACACCTCCTGCCTCTCCTGCCCCCTCACATACATTAAACCACCTGCCACCATGTCACACAGAAAAGGAGGACAGCTGGCTTTTCTCAGTTTTTTCCTTCATCTTGGAAAACTAGGTAATTTGGCAACCCAAACTGCTTAAAACTCAATGACTCTGGTCTGCCTGGATGCCCTGCCCTCCTGCATTTCCCCATCCCCTGTTAATTCTAACTTGTATTTTTCCTGGATCTCATTAGTTCCTACAAGCCTTCCCTGACTGCCCAGGCCTGGGCAGTGGGTGCCTTTGGCCGCATTCCCCACTAGCCTGTGCAAGCCTCTGTGAGGCTCCATCCACGTGACAGCCTCCCTCACTGACTGAGACCAGACCCTCTGCTTTATTTCTCTCGGTCACCTAGCACTCAAGCTGGTAAACCAAAAAAACACTGCGTTTGTTAAGTCAGTGGAAGAATGATTACATCTTGTAAGATGTAAGAAGTTGCTAAGGGGTTTCAGACAACCACCTTCCCCACTGTTTGGGGCCCTTGTTGCTCTACAGGTTCTATAGGCTTCTTCTAAAATGGTCTCCCCAGTTTTTAAGGTTTGCAAGTCCTGTTAGGACAGCACAGTGGGTATGACACAGTCTATCCCAAGAATTTCAGGCTCAAACACTGAGCCTCTACCAGCTCTGAGAGTCCCCCGGTCTCCAGGGAAACAGATACATACATGTGTAAAACAAGGGCAGGGAAACACATGTAGAGAGGAAGGAGTGTAAGGAAGAGGAGGTCAGGCTTCCCGAAGCCCTTTGGGTGGTTCACAGGCCAGGCCCACAGGATGGCACTGCGAGGGGGATGCACAGCGTGGCTTCCTGAGAGTACCTCTTCCAGGAAGGTGGTTTTCTCCTGCAATTTGGCCTCATAAAACTCGGTCAGCTCCTCTAGGGCCTGGCTCTTGGTTTCATCATTATCCCGAAGTTGTTTTTCGTACTCCTCCTGCATCCTCTGGGACTTGAGCTGCAATTCCTGATACTTCTCATATTCTAGAAGCAACTTTTGGTTGTTGCAACTTTCTGTAGCGAAGCAAGGAAGTTTAGTTCAGGTGGGACAGTAGCACCAATCCCGGGGACACCCCGGAGCCTTGGAGCCTTTTCCACCCCCTTCTAGCACCAACTAGAGCACCTGCTTCCAAGGCCAAGATTCAAGTGCCTGCCCACTGAACTCACCAGCCCCTGACTCCACTGTCTCATCAGGCAGCCGAACTCTCTCCCTGCTAGGAAGAAAGGTTTCCAGGAAGGCGAAGAGGGGTGCTTGGGGGTTCAGGGCCAAAAAGAATGTCCCGAATGTGCAAAATAGGTACCAGTGCCCCCATTTTACAGGAGAGTAAACTGAGGCTTGGTGAGGCTAGCTGACTCCCTAGAGCACCCAGTAAGGATGTAGTGAGTCTGGGACCCACAGCAGTCTACAGGGCTCCAAACTGCACTTTCCTGTACCTCCTACTGGCACGCAGTAGGCATTGAATTTGTGATTCATGAATGAGTAAATACAAGGAGTAAAAACCATAGTGAGTTTCACGAATAAATGCAGCCTGTTTATAGATAAAGCCGCATCACTGGGACTTCGGTTGCGTCTCGGACTTTTGACCCTAAGCAACCATCCAGGTGGACTCACCCAGGTCCTGCAGTTCCTGGCTTTGTTTGTCCAGCAGGTCTTCAATGTGTTCACGATGCAGTACATCTTGCTTTTCTTTTTCTGTTTTTAAAACCTAAAACAGAGACAAATGTTCTCATTTCTATACATCTGCTGAAAGCACTATTATGAGAACACATTTCACAACTGACATTCTCTTTCACTCACATTTCTCCAGACCTTATTTTGCACCAAGACCAGAATTCACGTCTCAGACCCCATAGAATATTGTTATTCTATGAACAATAAGCAAGCTATCACTTTTTATTTACACTATATTCTGCTCCAAAATTCCTATACTTTCACTATTTATATCCTTCCTATTAAATGGGCTTTGTCAGTGAGTTCAGTTTTGGAGATGTAGCAAATGGATTTTTAGGTATAAAAAGGATCATTTGAATCATCTGTTGTCCGCACACTGCTGTCAACTAAATCCTTGGATTATCCATCAATGTCTCAGCTTCTAAGGAAGTATTTTTTTTAATCAAGCAGGAAAGCTCCCTATAGGAAGGTGGGTGCCATCCCCAGGCCCTACCTTTGTACTTGGCTTACAGATGACATCAAATAAATCTTAGTTGACTAAATGAATTAAGTAATAAAATTAATAGCCGGGGCTTTTTTTTTAAACCAAACTCTCTAACCCATGGAGATAACATGAAAGAACAAAAATCCCTTGAGGAAAAAACTGGGAGTCTTGGATGAAGGGCCAAGGAGATTTGTACAGAACAAAGAAGTTATTTGGGAGAGTCCCAGACCAACTCTAACTACAGGAAGACCATTTCGGCTAATCTTATTTAGCCTACTGATAACTGGAGATCAACATTCTGCCAGTGCTTCCCTTTCTATACTTTATTTTTCTTGTTTCCTTTTCATTTTATTTTTAAATAAATTTCTCTTGAAGATAAAGGTAATAAATTCTCACTGGAGAGAATTTGGAAATTATAGCCAAATATAAAGAACAAAATTTAAATTATCCATAATCCAAACTTCCGGAGATAATCACACTATTAGCTATATTCTTAAAAATTGTTCTGTGTATTTTATCTAATTAATCTTATTCATGACAGAGTTTTATATTGTTTTTCTTTCACTTAGCACTTTGTGGTAAGCATTTCCATGTTATCAATTATGCTTTAAGATCACACATTATCATATTCTGTATTGTTTGAGCATATGCCAGTTCCATACTGAGTAAATAGGAAATTTCTTGTTATTTGTGAGTGTCGGATCAGCCTCTCACACAGACCTGGTTTTTTGTTTTTAAGGATTCCATTTCCTGGTTGAACTTATCTGTTAGCTCTTTAATCTTCTCAGAATAGTTCATATCCTTTAGTCGAAGTTGATACTCATTCTCCATTTTTAATTCTTCCACCCGGGTCTTCAGCTCCAACATAATCTGAGCCTTTGGAAGAAGGACACCAGAATCACGAACATTCTCAGTGTGGGTGAATTGGGATATTCAAACCCGTGGCCTCAAGCACCCTGAGATCTGCAGCTCTGCCTTGCCCCCAACTCGTGTGTCTGAGCTAGAGCTTGTCGTCTGTTCTATAAGACACACGGACTAAAAGCTAGGAGACATACACGCTTCTTCCTTTACCCTCATGACGTATATTCAGGGCCAAGCGTCATGTGAATGACCCCCTCATCTCCTTCCAATATGTGGAAATGTCACCTGCTCAATGACCACACTATTTAATCCTGCTACCCCTTCTTCCCATTCCCAGCATTCATGACTCCATTACTCTACTTTGTATTGTTTTCTTAGATCTTGGCACTTTCTGATATATCTTTTTTTGTTGTTTATTGTCTTTCGTCTTCTTCCTCCATGAGAACTGAAACTCCACGAGGACTGAAATATTTGTTGCTTTTGTGCACTGATGTAGCCCAAATACCCAGAACAGTGCCCAATGCATAGTTGGCACTTGAAAAATATTTACTGAACCATGATTCCTGCCCCCATGGAACTTACAGTCTACTGAGGCAGCCAAATAAACATATCACTATGAGTTGTAACAAGTGCCCAAAGCTAATAGTTTCCCAGGAGTGTCAGCTGTTCCTCTCAATGTCTGTTAGGCCTCTTCTGGCCTGACTGTTATACTTTAATTTAGGTCCTAATTATTCCTGCCTTGTTGGTTCCTATGTCTAGTGTCTTCTCCTTCAATCCATTTTATTCACTGATACTATTTTATAGAAATACTGTGTTCCACGACAGACAGTGAGAACACAGGTGTTTGCTTCTTGCTCACCTGTGATCACCTGTGCATCCCTATCTCATCTTCTCTGGTCTCTCTCCCCTCCACCTGTGGACAACTAGAGGCCAAGGAACGTGTGATGCTCATTTCTGTATTACTGGCCAGCAGGGTCCTGGCACCTGGATTCCTGGCCAGCAGACCAGCAGGGACCTGGCATGGCACATGGAAAGTACTAAGACGAGGGATGAACACAAGTTGCATGGGTAAATCAGGGGCCAAGAGTGAGGATGCTCGGTCAGGGCACTGTGTGACTTGGTGAGGGTGGGAGGCAGAGGCCACACTGGACCATCCAGGTCACTGCAGGCCATGCTAAGATACTAGGATTTTCTCCTAGAGGGCCTCCTCAGGCCCACAGCTTACCTGATGAAGCTGACTCTGGCCTTAGAAATACCTCTTGATGAGTGTGCAGCACAGGTTAGAGAAGGACTGAAGGCAGAGGGATTAGCAGGAGGAGGACCACACAGTCTGGGCAGAGTATGGTAAGGGCCTGAATGGAGGTGGGGCAGGGGGAACAGAGTGGAATGGGAAGATTTGAGACAGAGGTTTTAGGGTGTCTGACTGGGTGTGGGGTGAAGATGAGGGGGCCTAGACCATTCACTGCACTTGGATGATTGCACTGGGCCTATCTTGCTTTATCCCAGGAGCCTAACACAGAATCAGTAACTTAACTCAGCACTAAGTAAATGTCTGTCCGATGAATAAGCAGCCCCAGGGTCTGCCCTGGATGAGTGGAATACATTTACTGCTGGGGATGATTGGTTTTGACATGTTGCATTTGAGGCACTTGCTCACATTCCTTCCTCAATCCATTCTCTGAGTTTCTGCACAGTAGTCTCTCCAAGATGCAAGTCCTATCAAGTCATTCCCTAATTTAAATCTATCAACTAGTCCTTAAGAACAATTTCTGAAGTCTAAGACATGGTGTAGAAGGCCCCTCATGGCCTCTCCCCAGTTTCTTCTCTAGCACACCCTCTCTTCTCCAGCCCCACCTAGTAGGAGCAGCTTCCCCAGAGCTCCTCTCTCATCCCTCTGCACACACTCTTCCCCTGATATGCAAGACCCTCTCCTGTTTGTTCAGAAAGGCTCCATCTGAGGCTCACTTCCTTTGGCACCACGTGGCCTGGGCCAGGGCCTGTTCTCCTGAACCTCCACAGTGCCATTCCTTCATAACACCCATGACACACTTAATTCCCTTTTCATTTTACCTGTAGCTCATCCGGGCTATAAGCTAAAGGACCCTCCCTGTCTGTCTTTCTGTAATCCCAGGACTTAGTCCAGTATCTGGTGTACCACAGAACCCTCTGTAAATACAAATGGGATGAATGAATAAATGAAGACTGAGGGTAGGGATAAATCATGGCCTGAGAGATTGGTTACGTCAAATGTCACAGAATATAAAGGAAAAAAAAGCTGAGAATTCGGGGGATTGTGACTTTTATAGACAGGTGGAGGAAAAGCCAGGGAGGGAGCTGGGGAGGAACAGAGAGGCTTACAGGGAATAAAGGCATGGTCTCACTAACATGGAGAGAGAAAAAAGTTTTAGGGAGTGAGCAGAACATACACTAGTTGCTTCCAGCTTGGTTGGCAGCAGTTCTGTTAGGCCTAGCTGGGGGCTGCGGTCAAGGGTCAGCCCAGACACCTCAGGCCTTTGGTACAGCCTTGCATCTCCTATTTGGTCTTTTCTCCTACCCTCTGGGAGGAAGGGTGGAGAAAGCAGAGAGAAGAAAGAAGAGGAGGAGACATATTTGCCTGCCTATAGTAGGGCAGAGCCCAGCTCTCACAGGCTCTCCTTCATCCTTTCCTCCCACTTTGCCTTCCCTGCAGAAAGTTCCAAGGAGCTCTAGAAGGGATCTTCCAGAAATGCCAGGGGCCTATCACCCTGCATGGGGGTTGCTTTTGCATTGTGTTCTGATGGTTTTACTTGCCTATGCCTCACTTGACTGTTAGCTTCCTGATTACAGGGCCCATGCCTATCTTTTTACACATGTCTCCCTGTGCCTAGCAAACAGTAGGTGTTCAATAAATGCATGTTAGAGTCTGGATAAACAGCAGCGAGTTCATAGCTCTGCCATCCTCTGTAAGCCTCATGAACTTACCATCCTTCTGGCTACTTCCTTAGGGAGTGTAGCACAGAGTTGTGCACGCGAAGCTCTTCAACCATGTCGAAGCTCTTCAACCATGTCTTTGCAGAATGGGTACAGTGTTAGCAGCAGGGAAGCCCTCTGGGGTAGTGATGAAGACAATGGGCTCTAGATTAAATCTGGTCCTACTACTTACTAGCTCAGTGACTTTGGACATGTCACTCAATCTCCCCACACAAACATCTGGAAACATGGGAAGAATAACCCTAACTTTTTTACAGAGATAATGTGAGATTTAAAGAGAAAAAACTTGTAAAATAATAAGCATAATGCCTGGTTCATGGCAAATCTAAAAACTGCTAGTTATTATTATTTCTCTTGTTTTATTATTAAAAGGAATGGGTTTCAGGGATGTTTTCATGTATTTCTTTTCTTTTTCTTTTCTAAAGAAGGCTCCACGAGCAGTTATTAAGTCTCACAGATACAACTGGCATATTCAGTTTGTCAGTTTACTAGCACGTGCTAAAACTGTTGGTCATACAGGAGAATTGTAAGTCATGGTTCCTCACCTCAGAGAACAGGAAGATGGAAGCTAGCTCACAGGGGGAAAGCAGAGCATAGAATAAGTCAGGAAGATCACATGGCAGAAGGACAGGTGATGTGAGAGTGAAAACATCAGGTGGCAGTGAAGAGGGGAGCATGGTGGCATGGGCAGAAAATGCAGGGAGCCCTAGGAGTCCGAGCTGGGTTCTGGGTGCAGCCAGGATGGCCAGGACTTCAAATGTCAGTTCTGGGAATTTTCACACAGTCTAGTAAGGAATTTTCATGTCCCCTTTCATTAGATCTGATTCTTACCTTCTCTTCCACGTCTGTTTTGGTAACAAGCACCTCTTCGGCAAAGCCCAGCTCCCTCTCTCGCTTGGTTCCCCGGCCATCCTTATCAAAGACCTTCCAGGTAAACAGGCAGCCGTCCTCTGCAGTGGTCAGCAGGACCTGGTCATCAAAGGTGAGCAACATCTGTGGGAAAAGATCATGGAGAGGAGGCTTTCTGAGGCCATGGACGGGTGACCAGGACTGAGCTGCTACCATGCAAGTCCTCCCTCTAGGCAACCCTGGGCACAGCCTTATGGGAAGGCAGCTCAAACCTGGGTAAGAATGAGAGAGGAGCCCTCAAGAGCTTCTGTTAATGAGTAAGAGAAGCAAGACTATGTCTACATTCCCTGTGATTTGGAATCTTAAGAGTCAGTTTTTACCTATGATGTATAAAGAACTCTCACAACTCAACAGTAAAAAACCCAAACAATTCAACCATAAAGTGGGCAAAGATATGGAGACATTTCATCAAAGGGGAATTCAGATGGCAAGTAAGCACATGAAAAGATGTTCAACATTACTAGCCATTAGGGAAAAGCAAATTAAAACTCTGATGAGATATTACTACACACTCTTAGAGCAGCTAATACAAAACAGAGTGACACCAAATATTGGCAATGACACAGAGAAAAGATCTTTCATGCGCTGCTGGTGGGAATGGAAAATAGGTTGTTATTTTCTTAAAAAAACTAACATATGCTGACCATATGATCCAGCAATAGTACTCCTGGGCATCTAACCCAGGGAAATAAAAACTCAGGTCCACACAAAAGTCTAGATATCATTATTTATAGCAGCTTTATTAGTAATAGCCAAAAACTGGGGGAAAAATCATATATCCTATAATAGGTAGATAGTTAAACTGTGGTCCCTCCATACCATGGAATGTTATTCAGTAGTAAAAAGGAGTGAAATATTGATACATGAAATAACTTGGATGGATCTTGAGGGTATTATGCTGAGTGAAGAAAGCTATTGTCAAAAGGTCACATGCTGCATGATTCCATTTATATAATATTCTCAAAATGACAGATTATAGAAATGAAAAACAAATTAGTAGTTGCTGAGGGTTAGGGATGGTGCTGGGCGAGGGCGACGGGTGTGACTATAAAGGGCAGCTCGCTGTGGTGATGGAAAAGCACTGAGTCTTGATTGCATGTGTGATCACACAAGTCTATGAGTGTTACAAATGGCACTGCCACACACACACACCTTGTACCAATGTCAATCTTTTGGTTTGATGTCATACTTCAGTTACATTAGATGTAATCATTGGAGGATCCTGGGCTTAAAATGTCCTGGGAGTCTCTAATTATCTCAAAACAAAAGTGAAAGCATGATCAACTACGTGAACGTCTTCTCACCATCAGCATTATGTGTCAGGAATCTTAAAAATGGCAATGCTCTTTCTTTCAGGAATTCTACATCTGTCTAGGAATTTAGCCTTAGGAAATAATCAGAAATGCCCACAAAAATCCGCAGACTAGGATATTCATTAGAGTTCATAAGATCATTTAAATTGCCCAGTTGTAAGAGAAAAGCCAAATAAGTTATAGTCCATCAAATGACATCAAATTATAAAGCTACTAAAATCATGCTTTTGAGAAATATTTAGCTATGTGGAAAAATGCTTAGCATAGCATTGTTAAAAAAGCAGGCTAATAAGAGTATACATGCAATATGATCTCAACTTATTTAACACACACGTTATACATAGATAAAAGAGTGGAAGAAAATACATTAAAATATTAATGATTATATCATTGTGAGGATTTCTAGTTCTGAAAGAAATATGCATTGCTTTTATAATCAGAAAAATAAACCCACTATCCACAAAACTTAGTAAATCTGAAGAGAAGAGGGGGGACTATGTTATTGTAATTTACTTTGGACCCAAGACCCAGGCTCAGGGCAGGAATGTTCCTGCTGATAATGAAGAATCCTTTCCTAATAAGGACAGTAGCTGTAGTAAGCCATATAGAGCTTAGGACATAATTACAAATGTCAGGGTTGGTGGTGTTCAGTCTGGAATAAGAGAGGGGAGGTGGGGAGAGATACACATTTCTCAGTGCCTGTTCTTCAGGATTCCAGGTACACACAGTCACCACTTTTTTAGAAGGGAGAATGAAGGGACAATTTCCAGTGTGTATTCATGTGATTACCTCCAGGGAGGGCCTTCGTACCCTGAGGGGGAGGCAGAGACACATCTCCTGGGCTATGATCCCTGTTTGCTCAGGGCAATTCTGTGGAGGAGAAGGAGAACTGTGAGCCACCAGCAGGTAGCACTCAGGAGATGAGCACGATGGCCTGGTAGAGGGGAGCTGGGTGGGCTCCCAGCACCTCCCAAATGGCCCATTACATGCATAATATTATGGTGAACTACCTGGTACATAAATCTTTACATACGTGTCTGATTATTTCTTAGGGTAAATTCCTGAGAGTAGTTTAAACAAAAAATATTAGTAGCCAATAAATGTTTATTGGATGGATGGTTGGATGAATAAATAAGGAGAGAGAAGGAAAAAGCAGAGAGAAAAGAAGCTGGAAGGCTGAAGGGATGAAGATGGTAATGTGGAGGGTGGGCGTGGAGAAGCAACTCTGGGAAAGGGCCCTGAGGAAAGGGCCCCTTCTCACCTTGGTGATGGGACCAGCATGGGCCTGGTACTCATTGAATTCCTTCTGCAGAGGCAGAGGGTACTTCACAGCACGAATGCTTCCCATCGAGGTGCCCAGAAACATCATGCGCCCAGAATGTGAGATGACAACAGCTGTATAGACGACATCAAATGCTGACGTCTCTCGCAGGACCTAGAACACAGACAGCTCTGTTCAGGGTGAGGGGCTGAGCCCTATCCCCAGTGTCTCCATGTTATCCTCTTCCATTCCTCTAACAGCAGTATTAGGGCAAGTTCTGTATTTAAAAAATGTTTCTATTCCTTGTAGCATCTGGCATAGTGCTTAGCCCATAAAAGGCACAACCTAACTACTTCCTGGCTGCCTGATTGATGAATGATCAGTTCTAGGAGTTAGGAATAACACTAGTGGAAGGAGACCTTCAGCAGCACTTACTACATGCTAAGCACTGTTCTATGGCTTTTACATGTGTAGCTCATTCAGTCCTCACAAAAACCTCTGGAGATAGTTGCTATTGTCCCATTTTAAAGATGATGAAACAGAGTCACAGAGAGGGCAAGTAATTTGCCTCAACTCACCCACCTAATAAGTGGTGGGCTCTAGAGTCTCTGCTCTTGAATGAGTCATCTGCTGTGCAATCATGTATCTCAAACTAAGAATGGAGTGTGGATCATAAATTTATTCAGCAAACATGTATTAAAGTCCATAAAAGCAAAACTATACTATCAGGGAACTCATTCATTCCTTCATTCATTAATTCACCCATCCATCACTCCCTTTCCCACCCACCTACCCACCAAGCAGCTATTGAATATTTGCAGTGGGCCATGCAGTGTGCTGGCTGGTAGGGACACCAAGAGGTGTGGACTGTGGTCCTGCCCTAAAGGAACTTTGTTCTGGGGCAGCACTGAAAAGCCACCCCAGAATCAGGACTAAGCTATTGGGGGCACACTGGAGAGACACCCTCCTCCAAGTTGTGTTCCACTCACAGAGAGACCTGTGTGAGAGCAGCTTGCTGAGGCATCTCTGCACTTTCCTGGGCCCCAGCACCAGGTGAGTGACAAGCAGCAAAGGAAAGCTAGAGAACCGGTGCAGACCAGCTGTCCCTGGGTCCTGCAGAAGGACACAGCCACATTTGTATGAAGTATCCTTGCTCAGTTCTTCTCTCTTCCTTTGCCTATTTGGAGCTAAGAATGGTGATTCTGGAATTTCAGAGTTTGGGGCCTTCAAATGAATATGGTGGCAAGCCTAGGTGATCACAGTAACTGTAGTTCTGATTTTCCCCCAGGAATGAAGTTTATCAAAGATAAACATGCAGTTTAGAGATGCTGCCAACCTCCAGGCCTGGAAGGTGGAAGAGAAGTTATAGACAGCAAGCAAAACAAAAATGGAAAAGGGCCCAATTTAACCCAGTCAGGTCAGGCACTGGGCAGGAGACTCCAGAAGTAGCAATGACTGAGCTGACCTGAAAGGAATGAGGAGCCAGGTTTCATCCTAGGAAGCAGGGACCCTGTTCTCACAGCCCTCTCTCCATCCCTTCTGTAAACTTGGGAGGCTGACCTCTGCAGGTCACTGCAGTGGCCCAGAGAGAGGCCCAAGGGGGGGCTCACCGAAGAATCTGCAATCTCCTTGAGGGTCTGGTCTGATCCAACAGCAAAGATAATTTTGGCATCAGGGGAGATAGTAACGCAGTTGTAGCTGCAGGACTTGATCACACATTCTGTCTCTCTCTTTCCTGAGGACAGATTCCATTCATATACAGCACCATCTGTGCCACAAGAAACCAGTTTGCTGTCATCCATATTCCACACAATGGAACGAACCTACAGGGGATGAAGACATACCTAGTTAAGAGTGGACACATACCCACAAAACAAATGTTGGCGAGGATGTGGAGAAAGGGGAACCCTCCTACACTGCTGGTGGGAATGTAAACTAGTTCAACCATTGTGGAAAGCAGTATGGAGGTTCCTCAAAAAACTAAAAATAGAAATACCATTTGACCCAGGAATTCCACTTCTAGGAATTTACCCTAAGAATGCAGCAGCCCAGTTTGAAAAAGACATATGCACTCTTATGTTTATTGCAGCACTATTTACAATAGCCAAGAAATGGAAGCAACCTAAATGTCCATCAGTAGATGAATGGATAAAGAAGATGTGGTACATACACACAATGGAATATTATTCAGCCATAAGAAGAAAACAAATCCTACCATTTTCAACAACTATGGATGAAGCTAGAGGGTATTATGCTCAGTGAAATAAGCTGGGCAAAGAACGACAAGTATCAAATGATTTCACTTGTCTGTGGAGTATAACAACAAAGAAAAAACTGAAGAAACAAAACAGCAACAGACTCACAGAACCCAAGAATGGACTAACAGTTACCAAAGGGAAAGGGACTGGGGAAGATGGGTGGGAATGGAGGGATAAGAGGGAAAAAGGGGCATTACGATTAGCCCACATAATGTAGAGGGTGGGGCACAGGGAAGGCAGTATAGCACAGAGAAGACAAATAGTGACTCTATAGCATCTTACTATGCTGATAGACAGTGACTGTAATGGGGTGTGTGAGGGGGACTTGATAATGGAGGAGTCTACTAACCATAATGTTGTTCAAGCAATTGTACATTAAGGATATATATATATAAAAAAGAGTGGGCACATACACACACACCACACATGGAAAAGGAAGTGAACTCATGTGTTCCACTAGACTGAGGCAGGATGTCCTTTGGTACATGCCCTTCAGTAACATGAAACATAGCTTCTTAAGAATGCTGACATTCTGTTTTCCAAGATGCTTGCCAAATGCTGAAGATGGAACACTCCCATTTCTTTTTCACTTTATGAATGTAAAGACCGAATCATATGGTTCCTATAATGCTGCAACCAATTATTGCTGTGTTTTTGAAAATCTTTCTATTTTGAAGTAATTGTATGTTCACAGGAAGTTGCATGAATATACAGAGAGAGGGGACTTCTGGAATGGCAGAGTAAGGACTCAGCTGACCTCTCCCCCCTAAATTAACTGTTAAAAACTGTACAATTATTTAAAGTCTGTGGAAACTGTCCTAAGGGCATACAGCAAATGTAGAAATGTTCATTCAAGAAAATCCATTCCATCTCAGTAAGAACAGAGTCTGTGGCATTCGAGCAGTGACCTGCTCCTTCATCCTCAGCTCCAGAAACTTTATTCCTGTGCGCTCTGGGCAGGTGTGGCCAAAAGGTGGGGCTCCCCCTCCTCCCAGCTCTCAGTCTCTCGTTTCACCCTGGGAAGGGCAGACTGATGGTGTTTCTTGTCTCACCCAGAAGCTCTACTCCAGACAGGCATGGCCATAAGACCTGGTCTCCCCTCCCCGACCCCAGCCCCACTCAGTGGTGGCAGCTCTACTCCAAGTGCAGAAGGCCAGGAATCTGGGGCCCTGACTGTCCCTGCTCCAGCTTGCTCATAGGGTGGAGGTCCCACATCATGAAGGGAAAGCTGGAAACACCAGGGGCTTCCACACCCCCTCCCCTGCCAGTGTCACTTACTGAGTGGGGATATCACCCCTGGAAAAGAAGGTCCCTACCCGTAGCTCTGGTACAGTGGAGCAGGGATCCTTCCCAGGAGAAATTCAGGCCACAAGACACAGCCCTAAACTCTGTTTGAAGAGACTGACTCTATTTGGAACAGAGCATGGAGAAGTCTAGCCTATGGTCACTGACTAAAATAATGGAGATCTTGGGGGACAGCAATTTAGAGAAGGCTGGTAATTCCATGGTGTAAGTGTAATAGCAAAACAAGAATTTTAGCAGAGAGAACAAGGGAAAGAGACAACAAGAGCCCTTCTGGGATCACAGATGACACAGAGGGCTGGGACAGTGGTGCACAGGCTAAGCTGCACCCACTCAAGTGCACTCAGAGCAGAATATGGACAAAACCTGAAAGCATTTCCTACACTGCACAAGGGCCCCTTAGCACAGGCCAGAAGACCCATGGGCACAGGGCTTAGACACAACATCTGACCAAACACTAACAAAATGATGAACACCTCTGACGCAGGCATATCCCAGGGAGCCAGGCTTGGAAATAAAATCACACTGATCCCTGGCGGCCTGGACGACTGCATGCATGTCTAAGGCTGCACCCTCTCAGGAACAACCAGAGAGGGGAACTCCAAATACTAGTGTCTGGCTGAAGGAGAAGCAAAAACCTGAGCCCTCTGAACCATGATAGCAGCCTCCAAGCCACACACAAATCCAACAGCAAAGGGTAAAAGTCTAACTGGCTCAGAGGTTCCAGCACAGTGTCTGACTAGTAAGTGGCTTGCCAGGGCAACTCGGAGGTAGCAGGATAAAAGACAAAAAAAGAAAAAAAAATCTGATCAGACACATCAGAGGCTACACACTCCAGGGGTAAAACAAGACTTCCTGGAATTAGTTCAACCTGGAATTAATTCAGCTAGCAACAGCAGCAAGTAGCACTCCCCTTTCCCCCTTCTCATATTTCTAACTGCTTGTCCCATAGTGAGAGCCTGGCTCCCATTATCCTCAGTGTATGTGCTTATATTCTCAATCTCCTTATAAAGAACTAACCTCCAGACCCACTGGCCACCTCTAGGTTTTTCCTTGACTCCAACCCTATCAGACACTTCGTTAGCCACCTCCTCAGCCCCACCTCTACCTCTTAATCTGCATTTTCTAATTGACCATCACTATCACATAAAAATACACTTGAAAAAAAAGTCAGCTTCTCCAGCTCTTTTATCACTTCTCAAACGGGCCCAGTGTTTCAGCCATAGATACCACAAACCACCGTCCTATTTTACACTCCCATTCCATCATCTACAATGCATCTTTCTGCCCAGAATGCTGTTTTACTCTCCAAATTCTTTCGCTGAGTTCTTCCCCTTCCCAGTCCCAGCCCCTCCCAGTTCTTCATGCCCTTCAGCCACTCTCTCCCCAGGAACTACTGGTTTTACTTCCTAAACATCTTTTGAGCCCATCTACTTCTCTCTATCTGTTCCACCTCCATCCTGGTCCAAAATACTATCCTCTACCATGCAGACAACCACAGGAGTCTCCTTACCATTCCCACCCTTGTCCCTTTTAATACAAGCTTTTAAAATGCAAATCTGGTCACATGTTCTCTGTCCTGACTGCCTTCAATGATTTCAAGGAACAAGGAGGATAAAGTACAAAGTTCTTAAAAGGCCTGTAACGTTCCATGCACTTGCGCCGTGAACTTCACCAATCTCAGCTCACTACTGAGATACATCCTGATGCCTGTGTTCCAGCCCCACTGATTTTTAGTTCCCCTAACATCCCATGCAATCTCCCATGTCACGGTCCTTTGGATCCCCATCTGCACAGATGATCTCCACCCGCTCTGTCTGCTTAACTCCTATCTGCTCCTGCAGGACCAAGTCTTTGTGAACACCCCAATCTAACTTGTACTAACTCTTTCACCTCTGATAACACCCAGATTTTTCTTTCATTGAATTTATTGAAGTTATTAATTAAATTTGTGTGTTGTTTTACTGTATCTTTCCCTAAGCAGACAGTGAACTCTAAGAGGAAAGGAAGCACTTCTCTTTTGTTGGCTTGTACTCCGCTGGCTAGTGTAATGCTTGGATCCATGATCCTTGTTTCCCTGGACACTGTGCATTCATTTACCTTCCCTGTGTGTCCTTTCAGGTTTGAGATGTTCTCCAGGCTTGTGGTGGTAAAAATGTGAATCACATTTCCACTGACGGCAGCAAATAAGTGGCCTCCATTGCTAAAGGAACACTAACAAGAAAATACAGCAAGTGAGCAAGAATGAAAGAAAGAAATGAGCAGTCTAACTGGAGGTTACAGTCACGAGCCCCTTTTCCTAAAGAGTTCAGGCTGGAAGGATGTGTGTAAGTGGGAAATCAGGGGAGGGTGAAAATAGGACTGATAACTGGCCAACATCTCCAGGCACATTCACTCTTCCTATAACTCATACTGGCCATGATGCTGACACTGCCATGGGCACTAATTTAACCATGAAGCTGCTTGGGTAACAGAGTAGAGCACTCATTTGTCTGCAGAAGTTTCAGAGTGGGGAAGCGGGTGGGTAAAATTGTGGTATTTCCAGAATACTTCACCTGGCTTTAGTGCAACTGAATATCAATAGGTGTTCCTCAGGGGTGGAGACAGTTCATCTCCATATCAGTGGGTAATTACCTGAGCAACCAAGGGCCTATCTGAACCTGAGAGGTTAGGGGGAGTGCTGGTTTTGCTTTTGCCGGAGCAGGAAAGAGAGACAGCCCCTGACTGCAGTTTGTAAGCAGTAAGTGGATTTTAAACTTCATTTCTCCCTTTGACTGATTTTGGTTTTAGAGGTATTTTGCCCTGGGATTTCCTCTCCCTGGAGTTACAAAGTGATTTGTGAAATCACTGTCTTGTTTCTGTAAGTCATCTTGGGGAACTCTTGCTGTTGATGCTTATATTCTGTGGCTCCTCCCAAGCTCCAATCTCACCTTCCCAGCTGGGACTCTGATTTGGACAGAACTTTCCTTTTTTAAAATGCTCTTTATTATTTTGCAGTCACAGAAAGAATTAATCACAGATGACCTCACAAGATTTTGTGTTTGATGAAATATTTTGTGAGCATAAGAAAAGGGGATGGAGCCATATGCTCAATGAGTTTGGTGGACGAAGAAATGGTTTTTCTTTTTTTTTTTAAGCCACTTAAGTTCTCTACAACAGACTTTGGTTCCAGATCCTGGAGCTTGTTCTTGATACTTCACCCCTAGCTCTCCAAGAAACTACACCTTTATTTTATTTATTTATTTTTTTTGTAGATAATTATTTTTTATTGAAGGGTAGTTGACACACAGTATTACATTAGTTTCAGGTGTACAATTTTTTTTTTAAGCCACTTAAGTTCTCTACAACAGACTTTGGTTCCAGATCCTGGAGCTTGTTCTTGATACTTCACCCCTAGCTCTCCAAGAAACTACACCTTTATTTTATTTATTTATTTTTTTTGTAGATAATTATTTTTTATTGAAGGGTAGTTGACACACAGTATTACATTAGTTTCAGGTGTACAACACAGTGATTCAACATTTATATACATGATAATTCTAGGTACCAGCTATCACCATACCAGAAACTACACCTTTATGTCCAGCATTTCTTACCTCTCTGCATCCTCTGACAGAATATTCTTTGAAAGAACGTATATCATCAATGAGTAGATTCATAAGGTGTAGTTTGTCAGCAAACCCTACCACAATGAAGTGTCCAGATGGGTGAAGGCTGATTGCATATGCTTCTTCTTGGTATTCCTTATATAGTTCCAGAGTGCTGTGAAAGAGATCAATTACTGAATTATGAATCTAACTCACCAAATCCCTTGAGCTCTCCATTGTACCTGGTACATATTTTTATCACAGTATTTGAGGTACATTATAGCTTGCAATTATTGATTCCTCTCCTTTTGAGACTGTAGTTATCTGAGGATAGTGTCCAGCAATAAGTAAGGCAAACAGAGGAAGCAATCAAGGGGTTGTCCAATGAAATTGAAAGTCCAGCTCCACTGAGATTCCTCAAATCAGGAAGATAACACATTTTTTTTTTTCTAGCAGCCCTAGCAGCTATATATAAGAACAAAGAAATTAGAGATTGTGGAGCCAAGCTAGGTTGGAGATTCTCAGGGAAGCTATGAATGGGGAAAATGGAAGTTGCTATGGCCAGGATCCTCATCTTACCCTAAACTACTTGATGTAATTGGCCTACTGCTAGGCTAATGCTTTCACACCCCTTAGCAATGAGCTATTATTGACTGAGTCACTATATAAGAGCTCCACCCAGTGCTCTGGAGGCAGAGACGGAGGTAGATTACAGACTTGCAGACTGCTGGATGCAGACATGATTCTAGTGCTTGACACACCGCCATGAGAATAAAGCCAAGTATAAATCCTTTTACCCCAAGAATGTTCTGTTGTCATTTCTCTGTCTCATCAAATCCATAGTGAACTTGCCTGGGGCTGAAATGCTCAGGAAAGACACTATGCTAGGAAGATAAAACCACTAGGGAGATAAAGATGGTTGGGGCGGTGATGAGGGGAAAAAGGAGGAATAAATGGTCTGGAGCACTCTATGAGGCAAAAAGCAGACCTAAGGGGAGTGAGAGGATAGAAAAGCTGGAGGTTAGGTAAGAAGGTGAGATATTGGAGTGTTAGTTTATGTCCCTGGCATTCAGCATAGTGTCTGGCATGTAGTAAGCATTTAATAAAACACAAAATAATTTTGTAGCCCAAGCAAGAGTGAAAAGAGAAGAGAAACAGGTAGGTTGACTTAATTAAAAAAATTTTTTTCCGACTGAAAGCTTCTAAGTAATTACATTTTAAAACACTCTAATTAAAATAATTCACATGAACAAATTTAACAACTGAAATCATGCATACTACAGTAGCCAAGCTTTCATCCCTTACTTTGATTCATAATTCCAGATGCGAATGGATCGATCCAGAGAGCAGGTGGCAATGAGGGGTTTGCGGATGCAAGTAGCCAGGCCAGTGATGGATGCTGAGTGCACTGGGTACATCAGATACTCAAAGTGAGCAGGTTCCCCCTGAAGAAATCACACAGCATGAGATGGGCAGAGTAAGCAAAAGGCTGACTGTGCACTTGAGCTCTCATTACAACGCAGGAACGTTAATTAGCCTGCATGCACAGAAATCAAGCTGTGTGCAAACTGTTTTCATATCGTGCATGTTTTCCTATGCCACTATTATTTGAAAACGTTATTTTGATGGCAACAAGGTATTCTATTCTGTGGATACACCAGAATTTAATTTAGCCATTCCTCTACTATTTAAGTCATCTCCAATTTTTGTTAAGTTTAGAAATAATCCTAGACTAAATATCCATGCTTGTATGTCTGTGTACCTCTCTGTTCATGTTCTTAGGTACTATGGAATAAGAGCAGGACATTAGGCTTTTGATTGTTGATGCATTAATTTCAAAAGGTACCCATCCTGAAGAAGCATACTGTCAGCTGTCTGACCAGCTGCTAGCAAAACAACTGATAAGGAATTAGGCTACCCCCACCCATAAAGGTTGCTTTTTCAGAAAGCCCTGGGCAACTCAGATAACTGACTGCCTGAGTGACATCACTTCTCCCTTCCTGTGTCCTAATTCCTGCTCTTGTGCTTTTAATTAGCCATAAAAGAGTGGACTTGAGAAGCCCTAGACACCCCACTTTGTACCCTAATAAAGGCAGAGCACCAAATCTGTGCCCTGGTTCCTCCTTGACAACCTCCCTGTGTGACTCAAGGGCATGCTGTGTACCCTCCAGGACCTGTAAGTAATAAAGCTTGCTCCTCCAAGTTCCCTGATGTTTTCTGTCTTCTGCGATCATAATGGTGGCCTCAGAGGGAAAATGTGTGAGGGCTCCCCAGGAGTAATAATGGGCCTGGATAAGTGCCTCAGGCTTTTCTAGTCAACAGCATCACTACTGATAGGCCGGGACTGACACAACCAATACATTTCTAGACATGGAATACTAGGGCAAATGGTACAAACAATTTTAAGGTTCATGATAAGTACACCAAATTTCTCTCCAGAGAGACTGTGTTACTCTATCACCAGCAGCAATGAGAGTTGGGTACATGATTTCAATTAAAATGTGTCCTGTTCCATTAGTTGTGTAGGTTCTAGACAGTTGTCACCAGAGGCATTACGCCTGGGACACCTGAATGAGGAGTGCTGGCTAGGAGACTTAGCGAGGGTACACATTTTAGGTCTGTGCATAAGCCACGACAAAGGCTGAGATGGGAAAGCCCTCAAATTCTGGCCCTTCCGCACTTATAAACCTGTCTGTATCCACTCTGTCCTTCTCTATTATTGCAGAGAAAAATGAGCTGTGCGGGGCAGATAGGGGGCAGACACAAATTGCTTCCTTTCTTCTCCATCTGTTACTTCTTCTTTCTCCAATATCTTCAACCCCGGTCTCTGCCAGTACATTCCTGTTAGCATTTAAATACACTCAAATCTCTCGTCTTAAAAACAAGACCAGTTCTCTCTTCTGCCTTTTCTTTCCTTTACCTCTGCCCGAGTAGTTGAGTAATGATGGAGAATCCGTCAAGCAGGCTTACTAGTTTCATTTAGAATTCATGATGGCAAACCTCCAAAGGGCCTGGTAACTCTGCCATGTCTTTTAATAAGTTCACTTTCTGAATCTCCAAGATAACTATTTCATACCATGTATTTTTTTTTCAGACCTTCCAAGCTATCTTCCTCCTTGTCCCATTCCATCTCATCTGATGACCTTGCCTTATATTTCCTTAATTTCACACTTTTATTTTCTTTACATCATAGCTCAGGAGCACAGTTGCAGATTATCATAATCAATTCATATAAGACCAATTTTATTTTTGGTTTGTTTCATTCCTTTCTTCTTCAATTATCACTCCTGTTCCTCCCTTATCATAGACACCAACTAATATAGTTTATTTATGTCCTTGAATATATACATATATGTTTTATGTTTCTATAAATGGCATTGTACTTCAGAAGCATACTGCATTTTTACTTTTTTCTGTCAACAATATTTTTAAGGAGCCATTTATGCTGTGATATGTATAATTTATTGCTTCTAACTGATGCTTGGTACTGTGTAGTGTGCATCAGCTACTTAATTTTTTTATCACTCCTAGAAATGGACATCTGGATTGTTTTCAGCTCTCCATTACTACAAACTCTAAGCTGAGCATCTTTTATATGTTTTCTAATGGTCCTGCATGATGTAATTCCTAGTGCGTATCCAGTGGCAGAGTATGGGATAGCAAGATATCTTCTCTATTTGATCAAGAACTATCAGATTACTCTTTAGAATGGCCAACCTCATTTAAACCCCTATAATCACCAATTAGGATTCCCATTATTCCTTATCCTCAGAAATATTTGGTGATATCTTGACTTTCTAATTTTTGCTAATAAAGTAACTTCTTATACAGAAGTACCTTGGAGTTGTTTTAATTTGCATTTTTCTACTCACAGGCAACAGAAATTGCCTGAGAGAGTGACCAGATGTTGGATTTCATAGACAGAGACTTCAAAGTAGCCATTGTATGTTCAAAGAACTAAAGAAAACTGATTAAAGAAGTAAAGAAACTTTTGATGACTATCACATCAAACAGAGAACAACAATAAAGGGATAGAAATTGTTAAAAAAAAAACAAATTCTGGAGGTAAAAAGTACAATAATGGGAATGCAAAACCCACGAAAAGAGCTTAAAAGTAGATCTGAACTAGAAGAAGGAAGAATTAGTGAGTTTAAAGACATATATGTATATATACATACACATACACACATACACATACATATATATCTGGCAAAGCTATCTTTAAAAAATTAAGGTGAAATAAGAACATTCCCAATAAAAACTGTTGCTAGTAGACCTGCCTTAAATGCTAAAAGAAATTCTTCAAGTTGAAAGAAGTGACCCTGGAGAGTAATCTGAATACATACACAGAAAAACAAAGAGCACCAGTGAAGGTGATTATCTAACTACAGAAGATATCAAAATACATATTTCATCTCCACTGTTCTTTTAACTTATTTAAAAAGTAAGTGTATAAAACAATATGTATATTATGCATTGTTGGGCCTATAGAATGTAACAAATAATAGCACAAAGATGGTGGGTGGGAGCAAATCTGTATTAGACTAAGGAAATGCCTTTGGATGATAACTCAAATCCATAGGAACAAAAAAAGTCAGAAATGATAAATAAGATTTACATTAAAAAGCTATAAATTTATATGGGCTCTCCTTTCTTCCTTTCTTTCAAAAAAGATGTAAAATTATATAAAGTAATAGTTATAACAACACATTGTTGGGTTTTTAACACTTACAGATGTCATATATGTAACAATATTACAGAAAGGGGGACAAGGGAATGGAGCTATATAAGACTAACATTTCTATGTATAGTGGCATTGTCTGTATAAATCTGAACCTGATTCTAAGTTAAACTGGATACAATATGCCCTTGAGCAATCACTAGGGAAATTATTTAAAATATATAGTGAAAAAATAATTAAAGAAATTAAAATACTACATTAAAAATTCACTTAAATAAGATTAATAAAAACAAAATTCACTTAAATTAAAGTCAGACATGGTCAGACTGGAAAAATAAGAATCGATTGTATCATGGGTATAGGAAACACACTTAAGAATCAAAGATATGACACATGAAAAGATGCTCCACATCACTAGTTATCAGAGAAATGCAAATTAAAACCACAATGAGATATCACCTCAGACCAGTAAGGATGGCTACCATCCAAAAGACAAACAACAATAAATGTTGGCGAGGTTGTGGAGAAAGGGGAACCCTCCTACACTGCTGGTGGGAATGTAAATTAGTTCAACCATTGTGGAAAGCAGTATGGAGGTTCCTCAAAATGCTCAAAACAGACTTACCATTTGACCCAGGAATTCCACTCCTAGGAATTTACCCTAAGAATGCAGCAGCCCAGTTTCAAAAAGACATATGCACCCCTATGTTTACTGCAGCATTATTTACAATAGCCAA